CATATTCGCCTTCCGAATCGGAAATGACAATCAACCTAAAAAGCTTACAGATTAGGTATGTGAATGAAAATAAAATGTGTTTGTCATGTGAGCTGCATTTGTTCAGTTATGTGGATTATCTGTCATAGGAAACAACAAAATTCAAAGGTAGAAGACTTTTAACAATATTTCATGTCTCGCTTCATTGTTCTGCTAAAATTACCAATGCACAGTAAGGTGCAGCCAAGCATGCTTAAGTTGTGGTGCTCAAGCAAAACAAATTGGTCCAGATTTGAGCCTTGTCTGAAAGAATGTAGTGACTAATTTACATTAGCAATTGCACTGGGTTCCTGATTTGATTAGAAATGTGTCGATGGTTGTTAGGAAAAATTGCCTTCGCTTAAGGACTTATGGTTTAGTATTGTAGTCCAAAACTAACTTTAATCAGTGCTAACCCACTGCTAATTTTCTAGATCGGCCACTGCAGCCATGGGAGGCTGAGGGGGAGCAGGGAAATGAGGATGTCAAGGGCCTGGAGATCGTGGGTAGGCGGCCCGCGGCTACGTAGATCGTAGCCGTCAGCCGTGTCTTCCGATCTGGAGGTTATACCCCTCACGGTGATCGGGCTTGAGAGTCTTTGGGGAAGAGAGGGAGGTTTTAGGATAACTGATCTTTCTTACTTTATCAAATGGCCCTCGATCCATACATATAGCCTCTCGGGCTGTTGAAAAGGAAACTAACTAATCCTTGATTCTAGGGAAAGATAGCAATCAAATCTTCCTTCTTTCTATCCTAGCCACTGGATGTTCCTGCGCGCGCCAGCGTGCTTGGCTTCAGGCGTCGCTCGGTAATCGCTCATGACCGCCCTCATCGTCATTGATTCTTTGCGCGCTGCGGTAGTAGCTTACCCATGACATCTCGCCCCCCTCGAGACCCGGCTAGTCCTCGAGCCGGAAATCTGATATGAAGCGCGAAAAGCGTCGAGGTCTTCCTGTGAGGCCGAAGAAGCGAACCGTAAGACACCACACACAGTGACGCCACGTGCTAGGCGAGCTCGAGTGACTCGGTCGGGAGCTGGAAGCACCGCGCCATCTTTGGATGTCCGGCGGAGAGGAGGTGGGGTGGCGGTGGGGTGCCATGAACTTCTTGAGGGTCCCGACGTGGAATACGTCGTGGATACGGGCTTGCGGAGGTAGCTCAAGCCGCACCGCGACCTCATTGATCTTCTCGATGACCCGGTAGGGCCCCATGTAGCGGGCCTTCAGCTTGCCCGACGTGGTGCGGGGAGGGGCGTCGCTTTGGCGGCCGATGAAGACGCGGCAAAGGCCCAATCGCCATGTGGCGTGGCGACTGGCGATGATGATGGTCGGTCGTGCGCGACTTCGCACCGCTGGGCTTGCTCCAGCGATGGCGGACCTCGGCGAGAACTCTCGCGCTCCTCCATGTCGCGGGCCACAATGCGACACGGGTCTCGCCCGGCTCATACGAAAGGCGTATGGTCGGAGGGTCGGCCAGAGACCACCACCGAACGGCGTCTCCGGCGGCGACCGGAAGGCCGTGTTGTAGACGTTTCGCCCATGGCGACCACCGAGCCATCGATCTCTGTGAAACAACGGAGATACATGACTATGACGCGGTTCATTGCCTCGGTTTGGCCATCCGACCGGGGTGGAAGGCGGAGGTCATGTGCGACTTGGTGCCCATGAGTCTCATGAGCTCACGCCAAAAGACGGACGTGAACACCGGGTCCCGGTCCGGAGACAATGGATAGAGGCATCCCGTGGAGGCGGGCGATGTTGGTGAAGAAGGCTCAGGCCACGGACTCGGCGGTATCGGATGCCCGAGTGCAATGAAGTGGCGATGCTTACGGTCAAAGCGGTCGACGACGGAGAGGATGACCGACTTCCGTCGACCTTAAGCGGCGCCTCGATGAAATCAACCAATGTCGGCCTGCACCATAGATGGCACCGGGAGAGGCAGCAAGAGACCGTTAGAGATGCTCGGACTTGAATCGTTGGCACGTGGCGCAGTCCCGCACGAAGTCCTGGACGATGCGGCGCATGTTGGGGAAGTGGAAATCAGCACTGCAAATGCGTGCAGTCTTGTTGCTAACGCCTTCATGCCCATCGTCATGGATCGCAGCAACAATCTCTGGGCAGCAGGCGATGTAGGCGGGATGTAGAGGCGTCCGTCAACCATGTCGTCCCCGACCGCCCATGGAGCGGTTCGGAGCCCGCCAGCGCACCTCGTCGTGGATCGCGACCGAGGCGGTCGACGGCACCAGGCCTGCGCTGGCGCGGAGGGATGTAGTCAAAGCGCTGGTGCCGAGATGGCGCGGAGACCGCCCATGCTGTCCTCCTCCTCAAAGATCGCGACGCGAGAGGGCGTCCGCCACGACGTTGGTTGCCCGGACTTGTACTTTCGACGGCAAGTCGGCCGACGCAGCCAACCAACCCAATGGTGCTTTGGGGAATGGTGGCAAGGCGTTGATCCAAAGAAACTTGAGGCTATGGTGGTCCGTCTTGACGAGGAAGTAGCGGCCCCCACAGATATGGCGCCCGCCGCATGCCTCATGAAAGCACGAGGCCAATGAGCTCCCGCTCATACGCCGCTAGGGAGCGCGGTGTCGTGGCGCCACCGGTCTGCTTTCAAGAAGGCGATGGGATGGCCCTCCCGCAAAAGACGGCGCCGCCAGAAGGTCGACGCGTCGCACTCCACCACGGTAACGGTTTGGTAAAGTCCGGCAAGGCCAAGATCGGCGCCCGGTTACTGGCGGCCTTGAGTGCGCCGACGCCTCGACTCGGCAGACCCCCAAAGTGAAGCCGTCCTTCTTCAAGAATGCTTGTGAGGGCGCGCGATGGAGCCGTGGTTGTGGACGAACTTCCGATAGTAGCCCGCCCAACCCAAAAGGAAGCCACGGACGCCTATGGAACGGGGCCGAGGCCACTCGTGGATGGCTTGGACCTTGCTTTGGGGTCCATGGCGCCGGCCGGTGAAAAATGGTGTGGCCCAGATAGGCAACGACGCCCACACCAAAACAAAGACTTGAGCGCTTTTGATTTAAGTGGTGGTCGGGCGCAGGAGCTCAAGACGATCGCGCAGTGGCGGAGGTGATCTCGCCAGAGGTACTATAGATCAAGATGTCATCGAAAAAGACTAGGACGAACCGCCAAGGTAAGCTCGGAGGACGCTCGTTCATTAGCGCTGGAACGTGGCTAGGCGTTGCATGGACGGCATCACCGTAAATTCGTAGAGGCCGTCGTTTTTTGTCCTCGGTAGATCCGCTTTTGGTGGTAGCCCGAGCGCAAGTCGAGCTTGGTGAAGAAGCGCGCTGCCCGTGGAGCTTTCGAGGAGCTCATCCACCACCGGGATAGGGAAGGCGCCTTGACGGTCGGCCGTTGAGGGCGCGCATAATCGACGCAAAATTCTCCACCGCGTCGGCCTTGTGGACGAGGAGAGGCCGGGGAGGAAAAAAGCGAATCGTGCGACGGACGACGCCTGGCTGAATCATGGCGGCGATGGCGCTCAATCTCATCTTTGTGTGCCGCGGATAGCGGTAGGGCCGCGACGGCGGGCCGAGCCGGGTTTGAGGATGAGCTGTGGCGGCAGCATTTGAAGACGTCGTCCTCATAAGCGGTCGAGAGCTTTCGTCAGAGCGTCCCATATCTGCGCAGTTGGCGGGCGGGCGACAGGACGGAAACGGCCGTCTTGGTGGAAGGACATCGCGCGATCCGCGAAAGTTCCACACGATGGGACCGAGTGTGCCCATCCAAAGCAGTGCCAAAGACAACCTCGTACCGCAAGAGGCATCACAAAGAGATCGGTGTGGAAAGGCGTCGTTTGATGGAGAAGGGGCGTCCTAATGACGCCGGCAACAATACGCACTTTCTGGTTGGCGGCATCGTGGCGATCAAGCGTGGCGGTCTGGATCGGCGTTCTCTCGCCGATGAAACTATGGAACCGCCGAGCAAAGCGAGGAGGAGAGGCTCGCCACGGACACCGTGATCTGGATGGTGTCTGCGACAGGAACGCCAACGACGGCATGGAGGGAGTAGCATGGTGCTTCGGCTCCTGGTGCCTCCGTCGCGGCGTGAGCCCTCCGGCATCCACAGCGTCATCGACCTCCACCCCGTCGGCGAAAGAGGCGTTGCGAAGCGATTATATGCCCGGGTGTATGGTTGGTTTTGAAGCGAAGGCCTTGGCGGCGCCGTTCCGCCATCTCGGTAGGAGAATCGACGTGGAGGTCCTTCGCCGCCGACCTAATTGTCGTGGGCACAGTGGCGCCGGAGCGCAGGTCTTTGGGCCAGATGGCCGGCCGTGGCGCCAAGCGAAGCGCAATTGCACGGGGCAAGGCGGGCGGCGGACGGGAGGCCTCCATCATCTCCACCTGCGCGCCGGTGCTCATGGCTTCGACGAGGGTGGCCGGGTGGTGGTAGCCGATCGATTGTCAAGGGCACGGAGATCGTGGGTAAGACAAAGATCGTGGTCGTTACTTCTTCGATCTGGAGGTTATACCCCTCACGGTGATCGGGCTTGAGAGTCTTTGGGGAAGAGAGGAGGTTTTAGGATAACTGATCTTTCTTACTTTATCAAATGGCCCTCGATCCATACATTAGCCTCTCAGTTGAAAAGGAAACTAACTAATCCTTGATTCTAGGGAAAGATAGCAATCAAATCTTCCTTCTTTCTATCCTAGCCATCGGATGTTCCACTGCGCAGCCATGGGTCGCGCTCAACAAGGCCCAGGCTGAGGTCATGGCTTCTTTGCTGAGCAGGTAACATGAGAGAACACAAATCCACATGTAAAATAACCAATTACATGCCTCTAACAAAAAGAAGCAACTTTGGTCATGACAACGGCAATGGCTGAAAAGATAAATATGAATAGAAGCACCAACAGAACTAAATTAAAGGACCATTGAACTTGGTCAATGGCCAGACTGAACACTAGCAATGTTACTAAACTGAATAGACAAGTAGACCATTCCAAACATCTGAGTTATCTTTCAGTTATTTTATTTTCAGACTGATAGGAGTTCCTTCCTTGAAACTGATATGAGTTCCATAATTTTCTGCAACATAGATCAGTAGTTTTTTCACATTCTAGCTTTTAGGACATTCAGAACTCATACAGGAGCATGGAGCAAACTGAAATAAAACATTTATACTAATGTCGACTCACCTCATAAGTCATCATCAGCATAAGCTTTTCTAAGAACCTTCCAGACACTCCATATATAACTAGCAGAGTTGCTGAATCGCCCCCGCATCCCACATTGCATCTATTCAGTAGCAGCATTCATGCTTCATGCCTACATAGCAACATTCAGTCATCAAAACAATTGTCTCACATGTCAATCAAAAGCAACATTCAATTATTTTCATATGATTGTTAGACTCTGTTAGTCTGATAATAAAGAACTGAAAGCCTCTATTAGCCTGAATAGATGGAAAGATAAATATTGCACATATGGCTGCAGGTAGAAAAAGAATGGTGAGAATTGAAAATGGAAGTGGGAGTTCACTAACTGTCAAAGAACAAATAGAAGAGTTACAGCCATGAAAGCAAAAGCAACATTTAGTCATCCAAAATATATTTGAGGAAATTCTTACCTTTGTCAACATGCAGCCACGGAGGAAGCAGTCCCCGTCGGGAATTGGATGGGTGCTGCCGTTGCCGCGACCGAAGGGGTGGGTGGCGGCCGCCTTGCAGTTGCTGCCGTGTCTGACTGCGGCGGATGCTATCACCGCCGATGCGCCCTTGGTCTTCCTTGCCGCGGTCGCTTGGATCTATCCATCCCCCGGCAGATCGGGACACCGGGCCGCAGATCCGGCCGCCTACACCCCACCCGAAGAGGAGGCAGCGTTGTGGAGGCAGAGGGAAGGGGAGGGGAGCGGCTATGTTTGGGGTGGACGAGGTGAGCACGGGGCAGGCGGCGGATTTCGGAGGGAGGAATGCATGCGGCATGGTGCTAAGATGACGCGGCGGCGGCGGCGGCGGCGGTGGTGGGAGGAAGATCGGTGAAGTCCTCCTTGTTGTCCCTAGGCTTGCCTTGCTTCTGGATGGTCCAGGGCCTTGTGGGTTTGTTTCCCGCTAGGAGCCTCAAGAATTTGTGACCTGGAATTTGGCCGCCAAAATTTCCATAGATCGAAATAGCCAATTTTAAAAATAGTATAGACTATACAAATCATAGTTAAAAGGTTTGTTTTTTTAAAATAAACTGCACATATGTAGATAATGACATGTTGAATATCCACAAAATGAAAAAAAAATTACCAACACATTTCGATTTTCGTGATGAAAGTTTCTGAGAATGTTAAAAGGGTGTGGTTTGGTCCCTCAAAATTTTGAATTACACAGGTTTACAAACCACATATACTAGTTTTTTTTCCCTTTTTGGGTCTCACAGTACTGACACAGATGCCTACAAATGTTGCTCCAATACCAAGTAACTCTAAGAAGTGAGTAGAAATCAGGATATATTAACTTATTAAGGTTCCATTAAAAAGGTATTCCCTCCATTCCAATATCATTAATGATATGAATATGAATCCGATAAAAATTTAAATTAATATCATTAGATAGATCGTTAAATCTATTTTTTTAATAAACTTATTTAGAGATTCAAATGTTGCAAATATTTTTCTATAAATCTAGTTAAACTCAAGAAAGTTTGATCAGCACAAATACCATATCAATACTTAAAAAGGGACAGAGCGAGTACATACTACAAAAACTTTTTATTTTTGGATTTTTGACATATTGATATTTTTAATCCCTATTCCTCATTTACATTATAAATTTTACCATCTTTTTTTGTTACTTATTGTTTAAATTTTTTTATTCGTATTTATATTTACAATTTCTTTTCTATTTGTTACTTATATATTTTCCCCTTGGCCCAATAACACAAATAATATGTGCTTTACTAAACTAGGGGCCACATAATCATCTAAGAGGCACGACATCATCGTCCACATTTGAACTGTGTTTTTTAACCTTAACTGAACTAGGCTAGGGGCCACGATTGTTCACGAACATGATAGTACCGAATCATAGGATGAGTTCGTAGTATCGGGATACTATCACATTTGTACTATATTGGAAAGATTAAATGCTACGATTTTAATTTTTAAAAAAATAATTGAGTTTTGTATATGTAAGAGCACTTGTTCCATGCAACTAGCTTTAGACAATATTTTAGTACATTTGAATTAAAAAACTTATTTATATCAATTATTATGTACTATCATAGTTCAGTTGTATCGTGATAATATATATTCTTTGTAGGATCGTATGAAAACAGTAGAAGACTTATTTAGAATCACAATATGATAAAGTTCATTTAGGATCAGTCCGTGACGAACAGGACCATTCCACACCACAGTCCAAATGAATTCGCAGGCTCAGTTTTAGGTTCGGATGGTTCCAGGACCATCCCGCGACACTATCCAAACACACTGATAGTTTCCCTTGATATGATCATAGTGATAAGATTGTAGGAAAATGCATCGGGATCTTGACAAGCTTGGCTATAATGCTCTCAAATTACATGCTACGTCATCAAATCATCTTGTCCATATAATTTTCCCAGTAAGCGCCACATCATTTTTAAGGGTTCGACAAGAATTGAGAAAGTTCAGTCCTCAAGGATTTGATATTTAGCGTGTGTTTGGTTTAGAAACCATGTGGAATGGGCTGGCTCTATCCCTGTTTTTTGGGTAGGATTGGACCTATTCTTTGTTTGGTTAGAGGGATAGGGTTGCCCCATGTTTTATGTTTGGTTCAAGAGGGGTTGAGATCGATCCCTAACAAATGGGCCCCATGTATCAGCCTCTACCACCTTCTTCTCCCCATCTTTCTCTGCTCAGTCACCCTCCACAACTCCGCGCGCTCGACCTTTGATGCTGCACAGCTCCCCCTGCTCCCGCCTCCACTCCCACCGCTCCCAAATCCGCCGCCTCCCACTCAATCGTCGCTGAGGAGAAAGGATATTGAAAGGGGAGGAACACCCACTCGATCGTCAGCCATGGCCAGGGGAGAGAACCAGGAGTCGTAGACTGGGCTGCTTGGTTATATCACCTCACGTCGTGCCACTGCTCGGTCGCCATGGCCTCGGCTGCACATCCGCCGCACACACGCCACTGCTCAGGCCAGCTGCTCCCTCCGCACGCGCATGCTTCACCTAGGTCTACGCGGTTCGCCCAATTTGGTGGAGTCGGTCGAACCCGATATTCCCTACGGAACAAACCCAACCCACTTGAACCCCAAACCAAACACTATCAAATCTATGTCCAATCCATCCAACCCAGGTGAACCCTCAATCCAAACACACAGTTAGGCATGCTTGAAGGATTTGATATAAAAAATTTGCTAAAACCTAATAAGTATCATTAGATTAGTTCTGGAATATATTTTCATAATAAACTTACATAGAGATACAAATATTGATATTATTTTTTCTATAATTAATCAAATTTAAAAAACTTATTTTAGGACCAAGGGAGTATAGTTTATCATTTTCTATACTTCTGATGAGTACTCATCTAAAATCGATATGATTAGCTATATTTTGTGCTATTTTTGTAAACAAAATAATACATACTTTTACCTTGCATTAGAAAAGTAGATAATTATTTTATTTGCCTATTTAGTATATTTTGTTTTTATTAGGCTCTAACGATTATAACATTTTTTATTTTTTCCCCACCACGCACGGTTTCTCTCCTTTAATTTTCGCAAGTAGCCCGCCAAAACAGCCACCGGTAGGAATAGAACAATAATCATGCCTTTAATTTTCGCAATAGCCTGCCAAAATACCCACCGGTAGGATTAGATTCAATAATCACGGCACATAACTCCTCCCACCACGCCTTTCGCGTGCCCCTTTAATGAAACCATGTGTGTGGGGGCTGTCATTTTTTCACGCTAGGTAAAGCGACGGCGGCGACCACGGAGACCACGACAGCGGCTTGATGGACACACCCACAGCGGCTGCCTCGTCCGACGCCATACGCAAGCGCGCCATGATGCCACCTCCTTCGTCCGCACCTCCATCTTCGGCACCTCAATCTTCAGAAGAGAGGCGCCGTTCTCCTAACGAAGATCACGTCCAGGAAGAAGATGACAGCCACGACGTTGATGGCTCAGGGACACTACGTTTTCTCTACAGCAGATACGTGCTACTGTTGTTGTTAGTTGGCGTACGTGGTGGGTGTCGGCCGATCGATCAAAGCTGTTTGGGCGCATGCGTGCGTGTTGTAGTGTTGCAGGCGCGTGCGTGCGTCGAGGAAGAGATCATTCAATCTGCATTTATCTATCAAAGCTGTTGTATAAAGTCTGCCTTGACGAATAACTTTCCTGCTTAGCATAAAGAGATCTATAATATTTATATTTGGATTAGTATCTGATATTATTTTAGTTCATTCGATCATCACCGCTGGCACAATATTTTGCCTCTGCTAATTGCTGAACCTGCATTGTGTATGAACAAAAAGCAAATTGCTGAATCTGCTAACAATCAGGCATATTTAAATTTTAGTGCTATTTTCTATGCATCAATAAGCAGTCCTGATGCATATTGCTTAACCTGCTGGCATACTGTTATGCCCGCACTATTTATATTCGCTACCTGATGCATATAATTTATATTGCCAACAATTTATACTGAACCTGCTTGATTGCTTGATTGCCAATAGTGATTGTCAATAATTTATGCCCTCACTATTTATATTGCCTGATTGCTGAACCTGCTCATGCATATATTTTATACTGTTCCAATAATTTATATTTGGGTTTTTAAGTTTGATGAGTCCATGCTAATAGAGAAATTATTAATCAAAGCCTCATTATAATGAGAAAAATATTGCCTCTTGTACTGCAATCACATTTTGCTAATTTTGTTGAATTCAAGTGTAAGTAATATCTTACACCACACAATGATGTCAAGTCTAAGTAATATCTTACACCACACAATGATGTTTTTCTGCTCTATATGCATACAATGAACCATTGACGGGTGAGATGTGGACAATTTATTTTCAATGCAAGGGGAAACTTGAGGATGATGAATTCGTCGACACTGATGTAGACAGAGCTCACATCTCATTTCATAACCATTTTAAATAACAGTTTGGTTATGGAGTCAGGAACTTTTTATACTACAAGAAGCGTTGATACATGGCGAAATATCCAACACGAAGTGCTCTACTGAAACACAGAGAAGAAGATGCAGCCCATAGTGAAGTTTTAGCCCGACAAGAAAGAATGCAGCACCAACAAGAGGTTGAAGAATTAAAAGAAAAGCTTGCAAATGAAGTTTCAGCAAGGGAAAGAGATAAGGAAGAAAGTATGAAACAAATTGAAGAAACTAGGGAATAATTTCGGTCAACATTACAACAACAAATACAATTGGTACTACAGCAGGTACCAACTTTGGAACACGGTTCTCCTTTTTTGGATCCTCTATTTTAGCTAATGTTCCTTGTCTTTTGTGTTGCACAGGCTATCCCAGGAACCATCAACACTACACAGGATCCAAACGGCCCAAGTGTCGACAACAACTTCATCACACCACCACGCATAGACGATGCAGATGTACAGGTAATGAAAATGCAATAAGGTTACTTACAAAACATGCAACATATTTACAAATAAAATGCAATTTGTTTACATCAGCGTTTATTTTGGCAGAATAATGGACCATCAAGCATGTTGACCACAAAAAATGTATTTGATGAAGGTACTACCATGACAACAAAGATTAGTGCAACCAGGCCTCTTTTCCAGAAAAAGAATGGTGCCAATGGGTCATTGAATTATGTTTCTTTCCAACAACTATTGAGGACTCATAATTAAAAGAGAAAACATCAGGTATGAATACCAATGTGATTTGTCTTTGGAATGGTGGCAAATATGCTATGTATGATATGTCAGTAAAGTTCATCAAACTGGTGGGGATCTTATCA